ATTCCTCGCTTTTCCTAGATGGAATATGAAAAATAGATAACAAGGAAGGGCGGCATTCAATGGACGCATCCTCCAACACATGACCACCGTCAAGGACCCCACCAGGACACCAAACAGGACAGGGCATAAAACGGGCGGGGTGTCATCTTAAACAGGAGAATCACAGAAACCTACAGGGTAATTAAATATGAAAATTAATTTAAGAAAATTAATCAAAAGACCAAGGATAAAGCGGAAGGTGGCCTGAAGAGAAATTTATTTCATGAAATATACTTGTAAACTGATTGATTTCTTATAAAAGACGGTTTTATTTTTCAATTTATGTGTAATCACATTGCAAAGAAAGCGGAATATGATAACAATTATGAGTTTCTGTCAGTGACCGTTACAATAAACGCTGTAGAAACTTTAATGTATTACTAATCAAATTTCTTGCTTTTTCGGATCTTTAAAACATTTTGAAACTTGCAAACAAATGGTACGACTGAGTCTCCAAGGAATTCAACTCCAGATATGCTTTTATTTGTGTGGAAATCACGCTCGAAATAATTACAATATCATTACAACTAACACAATTGCTAATTTCACAAACAATACAACTATCACACAAAAGAGTTTCATTAAAATACAATCACATCAGACGGATCTACATGTATTTAAACAATGACAACGGGGGTCTAACATTAACAGAGGGGACCCTTCTTCTTGACAACTTCATTGAATGAAACAATACTATAATGTATCAGTAATGACAAAAAGCTGACCTCTGACCTTTTGTTGTCCATAATAAACAAATAGAATTGTAATATTAATTGAAGGGATTAATCTATTTTCCGTTTACAAAAGATGCTTCAAATGCATAGGCGAATGTTTATGTTAAATAGAAATGCATTAATGAGTTATTCTATTGGGGTTGTTAATAGTAAATATAAAATTTATATAAAAAATATGACTTAAAACGACATACATACATATTACGATTGTCTGTACATGATAACAGTATATACATGCTTTTCTTTTTTTTAGCCCCATAGGATTCAATTCGTTAAGTATTTAGAATCCTAAATACTGTTGAATACTGCTTTAGTCGTTGCAGGAAGGGTGGCCCACTTCCCGTAATCGTTCTTCAATACCGTCACAACTTAAAATGTCTGTCAACATAAAAAATACACCAATATTCATGCATATACATTCTATCATACAGATGATTGTCTGTCTGCTTTTAAAAATATATTACAATGAAATGTTAACAAATATATGCATTCATTTTCTTAATAAACAGCTATTATTTAAAATTCAGTGGTTTAAAGTGACTAGTTGTAAACTGTAAAAATAATTTTTTCAGTGTTTTAATTCAAGAATCATGTCATTCAAAATGAAACAAAATGCGCATCAACTACTTACGCCGGTGATAGAGGGTGTGAACGGAAGATTGCACGTGACACTATCGTCTATAAAGAAGCTCAATCAAACTTAACCTTTTACTTTTTCAATGTTGCCTTTCTTTTTTTTTTTTTTTGGAAGGCTGGAGCTATGATCAAAATGTGCTTTTGTTAAACGTATTTGTATAAGAAGATCTCGGTTTTTTGTTGAATTAATCTTTTTGGGAGACCTTTTTAGCATATAATCAACGAAAATATTGACTTAACAGTTGGAAAGAATAGATCGCAGATCTTCTTATTTACGGTTTGACTAGACAGAAACGATTCCAATCAGTATGAGCCCATAGTTTTCACATTTATCTTTTAATATATATTACTCAATTGGATCAAGGAATATTATATTAATGACGCACTTATAGTTGATTGTAAATAATATTTATATATCATGTAATAATATCAATTATATTCCGTCTTGGGTCTCAAATTACCATTAGTTATATGTTAAAATTAAATCAAATTTCGATTAAATGATGTAATGTTATCAAATTTCGATAAAAATAATCTAAATAAATGCCTACTTTATGCAGCGATTATCATAACTAAATTTGTTGAAACTCGTTATTTATATATTAGCACATGAACACTTGGCTGATAAAAATGATGTCTAGTATTTATTCAAATAGTAGCAAGTAGAAAACAAATAAATTTGCTGCTCTACTGTATAAAAAGAACAGGTAAAAACCCGGAACGTTCTATTGTATCAAAAGCAATTCCAAATGATTATATCTTTCACATAACACTTGGTTGAAAACCCTTGATTTTCGCAGTAGATTTATTTCCGATATAAAGTTTAGACTACTTAAGTCCCGAAATGAAATGAAATATATATGGCAAATAAAATATGTTTCAGCAAAAACTAGCCAAGCTTAACAAATAAAATATAATACAAACTTATTTCTTATGTACTACATTGTCTTCCTTTGAGCGTGTATCTACTTGAAATTTATCTCTTTATTTCTAAAGATATGTCATTGTCTAAAGTTAATGACTTGAGGAAATACATAACAATATATCTCAGTCATACATTGGTACTGAAAATGCAAATACTATAGTTATATAGAATATCACTCTCTTTTTTTTCAATGTACCGTAACATTTGGCCTATTTTAAATCAGATAAATCAGAACTTTAGTAAATAAATGATACTTATTTCAACCACTACAATGACGTCATTTAATAAATTTAAAACCATAAGCATTAATCATCACCTCATACGTTTTAATGTGAAGCTAATGTTGCTAATGAATTATGTAAACCCCTAGCGGATAATGATTTCAAATAATCAGAGCTGAAACTCATGACTCAATCAAGACAGCTTTCAATTATTCTGACATGATTAACTGATCCTGCTAATCTAGGAGCGATAATCCGTTTATCTAATTGTTGCAAAAAACACTTCATTTTGACATGATAAAGATTTCTGCAGTTCATGTTGGCATAGATGTATCGATATTTCTTTACTTTGTGCTTCATGTGATGAGTAATGATACATTTAAACAAAGGGAGGTATCTTAAGATTGAAAATAGACCTAATTAATGTCATGATAGTATTTTATATGTATGTTAGCTTTTTCACTTACTTAAATATTACCCATGAAATAAAATATTATAGATAAATATTCTGCTTTTACCTTTTTTCGTTTTATTATTTATTTATTATATTCAATTAATTATTATTATATCAATTATAATAATTGTTATTATATTTTTAGAATAAACACTGTTCATTTATATTTTACCAACCAAATGTCTTGTTGATGAGTTACTATCAGTGCATTTTTATAATTGATTGCGTGTCTTATGAACACAAGGTTTGTATAATGTTTATTTTTGAAATAAATATCCATTGATAAATGAACCGTAATATTCACATCTTAGTCTCTGATCTTTGGAATATGTTTGTATATTTCAAATCTTAAATTTAACTTTGAGAAATATAATTTTCTACGTTTGAAGTATGAATTAGTAGAGAATTATTTTCCCTTGTATATTGATAAGTCTCCGCTAGGGGGAGTATGATTTTGCACGGGATTTTCAGTTTGGCGGGTTATAGTAGTCATTCAGCGTTGAGAGAGCCTACCAGTTAACACGTAAATTTACATTGAAACATGTGCGAGGAAAATGACAACGTGGCTATACATTCACAGTTAGAATTGCTGTTAAATGAGATACATAGTCAAAAAGAAGGGGTGAAAGCTTTGAAAGAAGAAAAACAGGGCAATTCTTTCAGCGTTTCTAGCGAGGTGAAAAAAATCAAGTCGAAAAAAGAAATAAAATGGACACACATAGGTAACCGAATTCAATTTGAATTTAATTCTACCTTGGAAGATATAAACAATCAAGTTCAATGGGCGCTCGAGCACGGAAAAGTTGAGTATGCCAAAGAGTTACTTCAAGAAGCGGCCGAGAAACTTAGAAAACGTAACAAACTCATTAGAATTGCAGATTCGTCGGAGGCGGGTTGGGATACAGTTCGTCAATATGAGTTCAATCCGATTGCTAGTGACTCCGAGGACGAGTCAAAAATATCCAAAGCTGAGAACCGGGCTATTAAAAAGCAAAAACTCAAGCATAAAAGTAAGACTTCTTCTTTTTCTTCTGGGGCTGTTGGCAGTTACAGAAATAATTTCTTTCCGGGAAGCAGTTTCGTCGGAGGTCGTGCCGCTCGAATTCCAGATCAGGGTCAGTCTTCAAGGTCAACTAATTTTCGTGGCTACAACGGGAATTACAGATCAGGTTTCTCTGCGCCAGCAAGCTACACGGGGCCTGGTTCCTGCTTTGCATGTGGAGAAATGTCACACTTCAGGAGAAACTGCCCGTACATCACAAATCAGAGAAGTTTCGCAAGTCAGCCAGACGAGGGAAAGAAGTAATTCTACTGATTTATCTTTAAAAGATGAGTATTTTGACTGTAATTATCATAAATTTACAAACGATTATTACGAATACGAACAAGGGCATAAAAACATTTTAGTTAAAGGCCGATTAAAGAGAAATTTTCAGTTTTGGCAAGATATAAATGCCAGTGATTTTGTGTTAGATACAATTTATAACGGGTATAAGATACCTTTTTATTCACTTCCTGAGTCATGTATTTTGAAAAATAACAAGTCGGCATTAAATCAGCATTATTTTGTTAGTGAGGCTATTAGTGACTTGTTAGATAGAGGGCTTATACAAACATGCTTAGTACGTCCATTTGTTGTAAATCCATTGAGTGTTTCAATACAAAGTAACGGTAAGAAACGATTGATCCTTGATCTTCGTTCAGTAAATAAACACTTGTGGAAACAGTCGATAAAATATGATGATTTAAAAATAGCACTTTCATTTTTGAAACATGGATTTTTCATGATAAAATTTGACATCACAAGTGCTTATCATTTTATTGATATTTTTGAGGCACATACCGAATATTTAGGGTTTTCATGGGAAGATAATCAAGGCAATACAAAGTTTTACAAATTTTTAGTTTTGCCTTTTGGTCTGAGTACTGCCCCTTACATTTTTGTTAAGGTAACCAGAACTTTGGTTAAGAAGTGGAGGGGAGAGGGTAAAATGGTACTTATGTTCCTTGATGATGGCTTTGGGTGTAATACAAATTTTGACAATACCTCTGTTATGGCAGCGGATATCAAAGAAGATCTTTTAAAATCTGGTTTTGTACCTAAAGCTGAAAAAACGTTTTGGGTACCAGTTCAAAATATATCGTTTTTGGGGGTTGAAATAAATTCAGCTCAAGGTTTTATTTGTATACCCGATCAAAGGTTAGTTAAAATGAAACAAACTTTAAGTACTTTAAGGGATAGTTTAAAACTTCATAGAAGGGTCCCTGTCCGGAAATTAGCTAGTTTAATTGGTCAAATTATTTCAATGAAAATTGTGATAGGTGACATAGCTTTAATTATGACGAAATATTGCAGTTTAGATATTTTAAGTGCAGTTTCATGGGATCATCATATTAAGCTTTCTTTAGGCAGTTTGGAACAGTTAAAATTTTGGGAGCAAAACATTGATTCTTTAAATTTGAGAAAACTTTTCGAATCTCAAACATTTTCACGCATTGTGTACAGCGATGCAAGTTCCAGTGGTTACGCTGGGTATGAAGTTAATACTCTTAATGGAGTTTCTCATGGGATATGGACTGGGGAGGAAATTTCAAAATCCTCTGCCTGGAGAGAACTTCAGGCAGTGAACAGAGTTATGTCCTCTTTAGTTCATATTTTAGAGAATCACAATGTTAAATGGTTTACAGACAATCAAAGTGTAGCTACGATAGTACACAAAGGATCTATGAAACCCGATTTACAGTATATTGCTTGTCAAATTTTTAGTTTTTGCATGAGGCATTCTATTTCATTGACAGTTGAATGGATACCTAGAAAAGAAAACGAACGGGCTGATTATTTGTCTAAGATAAAAGAGAGAGATGATTGGGGAATTTCTTTTGAAATCCTGAAGATAATTTCTATGCGATGGGGAAAATTAGAGGTTGATTGGTTTGCTTCTGAACATAATGCTAAACTTCCTGTTTTTTATTCAAAATTTTGGAACAGAACATGTTCTGGTGTAGATGCATTTTCATTTAAATGGTCAGATAAAAGGGGTTTGTTTGTACCTCCAATTAGCTTAGTAAATAGCGTTTTTAATAAAATGAGAGAAGATAAATCTTGTGGTGTGTTAATTGTGCCACATTGGGAATCAGCTGTTTTCTGGCCATTATTGTGTCCAGATGGAGAAATGTGTAGTGGTGTTAAGGATTGGATTTATTTACCAACTGAAAAGAATTTTTACTCATGCTGTAAAAATGGTTCAGGAATATTTGGGGTAGAAAATCTAAAATTCAGAATGTTGGCTCTTAACATTTGTTTTAAGTAAAATAAGTAAACCAGCGCAGGAATTTTATTCCTGGGATTTATATTGTCTCAAGTATTTGTTAGATCTGCGCAGGAATTTAATTCCTGGTGTAACTTTTTCAAATGTCTGTTGTAGATCTGCGTAGGAATATGAATTCCTGGAAAAGAATGTTAAACATTTGTGGCACTGTAGCACGATTGTTGTATGATGACTGTATTTTGTGTAACATATTATCGAATATGTAATAGAAATTCGGCAATGTTATTTTTATATATACAATGCACTTCTATAGTAAATGTTACAGGAATGTATTTTAACTTTTATTGGACAAGCATGTTTCAGACGTTTTAATTAAAATTGTGTTTACACATTTGTTTTTTCAGTCACATCAGGATGATATTGACAAGTTGCCGGAGGTTTTGACGGGAAAGGTGGCTCTTCTTCCCGAGCTGTTACAGGAGTCAAGGGCGACAAGCACGGCTACTAAGTATAATAATGGATTTTTAAGGTGGAAACGGTGGGCTCTAAGTAATGGTTTGGGGAGTGGAGACATTTTACCCGCCAAAATCTTTCCGGTTGCGTTGTATTTCGCATCTATTATTCAAAGTGCAAATAGTCCTAGTCCAGTTAGTACTGCTTTCTATAGTATTCAATGGATGCACGAAATAAATGGATTTATTTCTCCCACAGTTTCTAGTTTAGTTAAAAATGTTTTTGAAGCAGGCAAGCGAAAACTTTCTAAACCGATTATAAAGAAAGAACCTGTCACTCCTGACATGCTTTGTGCTATTTATTCTCGTCTCTATGAAAATGGAAATTTGAAAAATCAACGTATTTTATGCGCAATTTTATTATCTTTTGCCGGTTTTCTTAGGAGTTCAGAATTACTAAGCATTAAATGTTCTGATGTGAAATTTGATATTATGTATATGAGTATATTTATTGAAAGTAGTAAGACTGATAAGTATAGAGATGGAGCCTGGATTGTGATTTCTAAGACTGATACGATTTTGTGTCCTGTTATTAATTTACACAAATATATAGATTGGGGCAATTTTGCAGATGATGATTACATATTTTGTAATTTAAGTAGTACGTCAAAAGGGTTTAAGCCACGAGATCGGAATAAACCTATGTCGTATTCCACTTTAAGAGATTTGTTTAGAAATGCTTTGAAACCTCATGTTGATAACATTGAGAAGTTTTGTTTACATTCATTGCGTTCAGGTGGCGCTTCAGCTGCCGCTAACACTGGAGTTAAGGACAGACTTTTTAAGCGTCATGGACGCTGGTTAAGTGATAGAGCAAAAGATGGATATATTAAAGATGATTTAAATGAAAGATTATTGGTTTCTCAATCATTAGGACTATAGATATTTTATTAATATAAACATATTAAGTAAATGTTTGGTAATATCGTATAAATGAATAATAAAATGAATTGGAAATAATTTTATGATAATTTGTCCCGTTCTTTTAACTTTCATAGTTTGTTTTGCTCTCTCAAGCGCTCTGAACAAATTAAACACTAAATTTAAATTTGTTATTGATTGTTGTTGTTTTTGGAGACGAGGTGTTATAAGGGAATGTATCTTTGTTTTTGATGGCAGAATGTCCATTTCTCGGAAGTATTGATCACAACAAAATTATGTGAAAATCGCAGACTCGGTTTGATTGAGTCTGTACATGCCCATCGACGGTCAAGTTAAAATAATCTTAAAACAAACAGCCAATAATTGCATGTCCTTTTCCTTTTTAAGACTTGATATTCATAGAATAATAATGTTCTAAATCTCTAAACTTGTAACGATATTTGCAAAAGTTCATGTTCAAAAATAGTTTCCATAGTGACAAAACAAATATGGCGGGAAATGAAATCCCTTTTGATAATATACAGGATCTCACATGACTAGTCATGTAGTAAAGCATTGTATTAAATTAGTTCAAGAGCATTTGTTAAAGCTAGCAACTAACTAATACTGTTTGATCTAATATATGCTTATATCTATAATATTCATGGCATTTAAAGGTTTTTTTTAACAAACTCATTTAGAACATAGGAAACTTTGCCTATTGACAACATGTAATTTGAAGAAACAACATCCTGTTTCCTGTAAATTACATACCTCAAACCACAGACCTATCTTTATCTCAGAGAATAAATAGCATCCATTTATACACAAATACATCAATTATGTATTGCAATTAGCTGATTGAGTACCAACCAATGGCCTCAGATGACCCTGTAATCTAACGACCGCAAACTGACCGATCTCTTCTTAGAAACATAAATATTTTTAGAGATAACTATAGGATATACATTTTGTAGTTTGTTATTTTTTTAAGATAAAGTCTCGTAGACAAAATTTGTTTAGCATCGCAAATGAAAAATTAACTACAGGTAACTTGTTAAAATAGATATTCATGCATTTCAGTTGCTTATAACCAGAACAAAATTTAAGTATCAAAACCAGAATACGAGGTAAGTCAGAAATTATTTAAGCTCTAAAACTGATCTCAAGAATTTGTAGATCAAAAAGTGTCTCAGAATGTACGCTGACCCCACAAAAATACTGAGATTCAGACAGAAAATTATAACCTTGACACAAGAAAATGTCTACTAATCACTAAAAACTCATTACTCTCGCACGTCATTTGGGTATATTCGTACGCTTTTTGGGTATACTCAAACGCCATTATGTGTATACTCGCACGACATTCTGAATATTCCCTTTAGTCATGGTGGGTATACTTGCACGCCATTTGTGTATGCTGATACGCCATTTTGGGTATACTCGTACGCTATTCGTATTATACACCATTCTGAAAATATCTGTGCAATATCTTATAAAACCACCATTCAAACATTGTTTTGCAATTTCCAATTATTCTTGCATGATAAAGGTAATAAACCAAACTTTACATGATACCGTTTTAATTGCATAATGAATAATGCGTCTGCTACGTGCATTGTAATTATTTCGCCATAAGTTATTTGTAATTGTTAATTTTATCATACAATATTTCTTAGCAATAAACCTTGTCTTGTGTGTCTATGATGTGAATTAAAAGTCAATGATTTATTAACCCGACATGCAAATAATTCATAACAATTCAAAAACATATGTAGAGAAGTTACCAAAAAGAAACATACAATATTATTTTAAGCACAGAAACATCTTAAACGATAGTTTGATTTCGTTTAATAGAACAAATCAACATCTCATGGAATGCTTAATTCATTGGTCATACTACCATATGAAAATGATGGAAAGAAAAATACATCATTAAATGAAAGAGCTTGACCTTCATTTAAAAATGAAAATAACTTTCAGGGATATCTGAATAATTTTATGTCAAATGTATCATTATTTATGTGAAATATCTAATTAAGTACCCTTACTGTTATTTTGATGATTCATGATGGCTTTCAACTCAAATTAAATGACGTCATAGGCAGGCAAGAAAAGGTCATTGTATGTACGTCTACTTAATGTCAAACTTACAACTTTATGCAGGTCTTGCCAAATATATCAAGAAATAAACATAAAGAAAGATGCACCAGTAAAACATTTCAGTCAACTTAATTGGTTGTAGTCATATGACCCCATTATATACAAAAACGGAATTAATAATTGGTCATAATGAACCTTCATTATTTTTAAAGCAGCAAGTTGAGACCAAAATATCTGGAGTGTTAAACAATTCATTATCAAACATATTTTGTTTTACGTTTAAACATAAATACCACAAACAATAAAAATTGCCTATCAAAGGATTTGGTTAATATGAGTAAATTTAATTCCAAATAATTCGAGGTATGTTTGTTATAATCTAAGAAGCTACTTTGTTAATACTATTTAAGCTTTTCAGAGGTAATAACTCTAGTTGTGAATAAAGTACTGGACAATTTCCAAATAATTACAGAAGCTCATTCTTTTAGACGTTTTCTAGTGAGAGATTGATGTACTAAAATACTATATAGAAACTTTTTTGTTTAACAAAGACATTGGCAAACAAAATTGCCAAATGAAGAACATGTTTGTAAATGCTCACAATTTCCGACGTTCAAACTAAACTGTTTCATGGACTGATAAACCGTATTAATTTGAAATTGTTTAAAGGTATTTTATGTCTCAGAATGCTTTTTCTTTTAGTTCTCAAAAGTTTATTCTCAGTTGCTTTTTGTCAGTTACTAAATTTAAAGTGATATTAGTATTTTGTATAGAAGGCAAAGTACTACTGTATTTACACTACTTCTATGACAAATAACTTCGATATTAGCGCTACTTTCTTCAAGAAATGCTCTAAAAAGTTATAATACTCACGTATGCCTTTTCTAAAGAAAAATAAAAAAAAAATGTTCGTTTCTTATTATAATTTGCGTTTAACATACGTGTAAATTGTGAAGCAGTATTGTCAACTAAAAAAACTTAAGAAGATTTGCTCTAAAAGCTGAACATTGCACCTGTAAATGACCAGATATTTGACTATTAAATGCATTTCACATTTACAACGACTCAATTTTCAAACAAATTGATATCAATGCATACAGGTTCTGATATTTGATAATTTTACGCAAAGCACGCGATTTCAAAAAAAAAATCACAGCAACAACATTTTCGTATCACGGCATTTCAAAGCATGTAACTGTGTATAGCACTACAATTCTTTCCATGAAACATTGAATTGGCACCAGCATAAATGATACAAAATTTCATGACCGATAATAGACGCGAAATGGAACCAATACGCAATGCGATTATCTTCAATCCATAAATCATGTTTAGGCAAATCAGGAGTAATTTTCACCGAAATCTGAACATCTCTCTGGGAGATAATCAAATCATTTATTGATTGGAAATCACTCCTGAAGAGAGCTTTTTCTCTAAATATTGATGTTCTGTCGTCACTTTGTTGTAATTTTTGGATTACTGTTAAGTGTCAGAAATACGTGCTTGACAACAATTTATAAGAGTAGTTTGATCGGTATACGAATTTATTTGTTTTTTTTTTGTTGTTGTTTGGGGGGTTAGGGAGTTGTTGTTGTTGTTGTTGTTTATGTTGTTGTTTTAGGGTAGTCTTTGGTGTTTTTATGTTTTGGCGGAGGAGGGGGGGTCGATGTACACGTCAAACTTTTGGGCAGCTTATTGCATTTTCAGGCACAAGCGGCACCGTTAGAATTGAAATAACAAACACACTAACTTTCAATGCTTAGCTTGGAAGCCCATGGGAAATGACAAAAAAGTGAACGCTCTCAATATCTAATATCCATTACACGAT